TATGACGTGTGGAGTTCCCCAGGGCTCGGCTTACGGCCCTGAGTGTTGGAACCTGACTTACGATGAGGTCTTGGGGACGGACTTACCACCCGACTGTCATGTCATCTGCTATGCGGATGACACACTTGTAGTGGCGCTGGGGGAGAACCTGGATGTGGCCACTGCACGGGTTGAAATGGCGGTTGCCCTCGTGGTGAGACGTATTGAGTCGCTCGGTCTCTGTGTATCCCCCCTAAAAACGGAGGCGTGCGCTTTCTCCATGGCGCACAGGTTTGTTCGTGACAGGTCGGTCTTGGTTAAAGGGACCCTGATACCACTTGGGTCTAATATGAAATACTTGGGCTTGATTCTCAGCAGGAAATGGACCTTCCGCGAACATTTCGCGGAGGTCTTACCCAGGGCCGAGAGGCTGTCCCTCATGCTGACTCGGTTAATGCCAAACCTTCGTGGTCCGAATGAACTAGCTAGGAGACTCTACAGCGCGGTGGTGCATTCAGTGGTGTTTTATGGAGCCCCGGTTTGGGCCCAGGCTATCAGCAACGATAGAAGAGTAACGAGAGACATTAAAGCTCTACAGCGGAAAATAGCCTTGAGGATTATAGCTGCTTACCGTACCGTGTCATACCCGGCGGCCTTTTTACTCTCCAGGGTCATGCCGGTGGAATACTTGGCGGTTAGACTAGAGAAGATATTCACGGACACTCGAGAACTTCAAAGCCAGGAAATCCCGATAACTCATCGCATCTTCGATCGAATAAGGGAGAGTGCACTTGACAGCGCACTAACCAAATGGGAAGCAGACTATAGAAGACCTGGAACCACCGCGATAGCGGTTAGAGGAGCCTTGGCCCCGGTGTTGGAGCGCTGGTATAAGCGCAAACATGGGCAAATCACATACAGGATGACGCAGATAATCACCGGACATGGATGCTTCAACTCGTTCTTGCATCGAATTGGTAGGGCTCCAAATAGTTTATGCTCGTTTTGCACAGAGGAAGAAGATACCAACGTACACACTCTTAGTACTTGCTCGGCTTGGGCACCCGATAGGGAGACCCTCGTAGGTATAATCGGTCCCGAGTTGGACCTGAGGTCAGTCATTTTTTCCATACTGCAGTCTTCGGCCAAATGGGCCGCATTCGGAGTATACTGCGAGACGGTCATGTTTAGAAAGGAGGAGGCGGAGAGGGCTAGGCAAGCCCAGGCCGCTGAAGAAGAAGCCTTTCTGGCTCGGTTGGATAACCTGGGAGAGTCGGACGAAGAGTAGGTTAGGATCCTTCTACATAGGTCCTAAATTCTTTCTCTCGTCTCTATCGTGACGTTTCCCCCTCCCTGGGCAGTACTTTAGTACTGCAGTTGCCTGCATTGAGGTAAGAGCCTTTAGCTCTTACGATCCCTTGGGGGTGGCCCTGAAGTAGTGCCTCGTAGCGGTTCCGGGGTCGCCCCTAGTATGAGATCGGGACGGTCGTTTTCTTCGTGGTGATGTTTTAGTGGGTAGGCGCCTAGATCCTTTCTTCCGATCAGGTGAATCCCACACTCCCCCGCATGCAGGCGCGGGGGGTCTAAGAAGATTTTTACACCACGTTAAAAAAAAAAAAAAAAAAAAGGTTAGGGTATTGGGCGTCGTCGAAAATTTTTTTTTTGTTAGGATTTTTCTCATGTAGTGTGAGCAGTCCTCTTTCGATTCCCCTTGGTCCCATTCCGATCATTTAGCTCCTTATATTTTTAAAAACTTAAAAATGTTTTGAATAGTGCAAAATTGATTATTTTGATAAATCCAAGTGTGCCTTCCTATAGTTCTCGTCGAGCCCGATAATAAAGGTTCTGTGCACCAAATCTCTATCTCTTATAGTTTAGATGATATAGGATTTTTAATGTAAAAAAAAAAAATTTTTTTTTCTTTTTTAAATGTTTAGCATTTTTTCCTTATAGAACTCGACGTGAGGAACAAAAAAGGTCCTCTTCATCGAGCCTGTATCTCGAACCGTTTGGCCAGGAAAACTTTTTAAACTTTGGAAAAAAATTTTTTTTGTTTGTTTGTAACGTTTAGCATTTTTCCCTTATAGAACTCGACGAGAGGAACAAAAAAGGTCCTCTTCACCGAGCCTGTATCTCGAACCGTTTGGCCAGGAAAACTGTGCAAAATTTTAAAAAACATTAATTTTTTGTTTGATCGTTTGTTTGTAATGTTTGGCATTTTTCCCTTATAGAACTCGACGAGAGGAACACAAAAGGTCCTCTTCACCGAGCCTGTATCTCGAACCGTTTGGCCAGGAAAACTGTGCAAAGTTTTAAAAAATATTTATTTTTTGTTTGATCGTTTGTTTGTAATGTTTGGCATTTTTCCCTTATAGAACTCGACGAGAGGAACAAAAAAGGTCCTCTTGATCGAGCTTGTATCTCAAACCGTTTGGCCAGGAAAACTGTGCAAAGTTTTGAAAAACATTTATTTTTTGTTTGATCGTTTGTTTGTAATGTTTGGCATTTTTCCCTTATAGAACTCGACGAGTGGAACAAAAAAGGTCCTCTTCACCGAGCCTGTATCTCGAACCGTTTGGCCAGGAAAACTATGCAAAGTTTTGAAACTGAAAGGTAAGTTTGATCAGAAAAATCGCTGAAAATTGGACTATACCAATCGATAGAGGATGTCGTAAAACGTGTTTTGAACTTATGAATTTTTTTTTTTTTTTTTGAAATTATTAAAATTTTTTCAAAGTTCAAAGAGAGTATTAATTTTGAAAAATGGACTAAATTTGGACTATACCAGTGGATAGAGAATGTCGAGAAACGTGTGTTGAACCCATGAATTTTTGACGTAATTTTGGAAATTTTCAAAATTATTTCCAAGTCCAAAGGGTGTGGCAAGTTTAAAAAATCGACCAAAATTGGATTATACCAGTGGATAGAGAATGTCGAGAAACGTGTTTTGGACGTATGATTTTTAGACCGAATTTTGCAAATTTTCAAAACCATTTCCAAGTCCAAAGGGTGTGTCAAGTTTGAAAAATCGACCAAAATTGATTCTTACCAATGGATAGAGAATGTCGAGAAACATATTTTGGACGTATGATTTTTGGACCGAATTTTGGAAATTTTCAAAATTGTTTCTAAGTCCAAGGGGAGTATCAATTTGGAAAAATCGACTAAAATTGGACTATACCAGTCTATAGAGAATGTTGAGAAACGTGTGTTGGACTTATGATTTTTTGTTTTAAATTAGAAAAATCTTTTTAAGTTCTGCCCCCTCGAAAAGTGGGAAAAAATGAGCGTGTCGAAAAAATTCGAACTATTGATAACTATATAAAAAAAGTACATTTAAGAAAAAAAGAAAATTACAATTTGTGTAGTTTTCATGTGTATTCTGGGTCAAAAACTTTGGGGGGAGTTTGGGGGGGCGTAGCTCCCCCAAATACTTGCCAGGGGGCGAAGCTCCGTGGCGAGGGTGCAGGGGTCCAGGGGGCGAAGCTCCGTGGCGATGGTGCAGGGGTCCAGGGGGCGAAGACGTAATAACTTCGTATAGA